TACTTCTATTCTCCTACAAAACTGTTTCACAATCTTAATTTTATTGATATTCAGTGCTTACATTATTATGAAGATGCAACTATTTTTACAACTGAACCACAAAGTATGTTATAATTATATTTCTTTACAACTTTTTATTTATCCTGGAGTTAATATTTTAAAAGATTTCCATGTATTTTTGATTAATTCTTTTCCTAAGCTTGCCAATAGCACCATAAACATCTGCTCAATATATTCAGACTTTTTAAAATGCATAAGTACCATATTTTTCTTGGTGAAATCTTTCCTGGAACCCTCTAGCCTCATATTCCATTGGCACTCTAGGCCTGCTGCATAGCTGTTGGCTTGGGGCTTTTGTCACCAACATTCAACTTCCTTCTCTATATTGGATCTCTCTCTGGTTTCCTGGATCCTATTTCTTCTTCTTTCCTGATGCATTCCCTCATTTGGAACTATGTCTTCCAGAAGATTCCAAAGAAAAAAATGCATAGGAAACAAAGGTTTTGACATTTAGTGTATATAGAAGTATCTTTATCCTACTTTCACATGTTATTGATAGCTTGGAAAGGAATCCTTTTTCTCAGTACTGTACACAGAAACTGTGCGCTGTCTGTTGGAGGGGGTGTTGACAGGTGAGCAAAAGTGTCTTAGAACAATTTTACCTTGAATTTCTGTGAAGTGAGGCTGAGCATATGTTTTTACTTTTCTGTGATCTGTTAATATTTGATTAATATATGCTTTATCCATTTTTCTATTTGGTTGTTGGCTTTTGACTTTTGTATTTGTAGGAACCCCTTTATTTTAAGCAGTGTCCTCCTTTTTTTAAATGATACGAATTGCTAATATTTTTCCCCAAGGACTCAAGCCCCATGAAAGGTAATATAATAGCATCTTTTAAAATTAAAAATAAATTCTGTCCAGTAATTTTATTTATGTATTTATCCAGCAGATACTCACACATGTCGAAAATGGCTTAGAAACAAAGATATTTACTAAAGAATTATTTGTAAATAGCAAAATCGTAGGCAACCTAAATGTCTATCAATATGATCTAATTAAATAAATCATGATCTACTAGTGGACTACTATGCAGCCATATATAAAGAATGAGGAAGTTCTAAATGTACTGAAAATCCCTAAGATATATATTTTAAGTTAAAAATAAGTTGCAGGCTGGGTGCGGTGGCTCACGCCTGTAATCTTAGCATTCTGGGAGGCTGAGGTGGGCGGATTGCTTGAGGTCAGGAGTTTGAAACCAGCCTGAGCAAGAGCGAGACCCCGTCTCTACTATAAATAGAAAGAAATTAATTAGCCAACTAATATATATAGAAAAAATTAGCCGGGCATGGTGGTGCATGCCTGTAGTCCCAGCTACTCGGAAGGCTGAGGCAGAAGGATTGTTTGAGCCCAGGAGTTTGAGGTTGCTGTGAGCTAGGTTGACACCATGGCACTCACTCTAGCCTGGGCAACAAAGCAAGACTCTATCTCAAAAATAAAATAAAATAAAATAAAAGTTGCAGAACAGTGTGTGTAGTAGGTCACCAGTTTTGAACCAAAAGAAAAACTATATATGTAATCAATATATGCGTCAGAACATCTCTGAACAAATCTGCAATAAACTGGTAAGATGGGTTGCCTCTGGAACATGGAACTTAGTAGCTGGGGAGCAGAAGTAGAAGATATATGATTTTTCTTTTGTAACAGCTTTATTGATATATAATTTACATACTCTGAAATTCCTCAGTATTGTTTAATTTGATGAATTTTGATATATTTACAAATATCACAATCTGGTTTTGAAACATTTTCATGATCCTAAAAAGAAACTTGTGCCCATTTATGGTTATTGCCCATTCCTACTCCCAGCCCTAGGCAAACACTTTTCTAGTTTCTATCTCTACATATTTGCCTGTTCGGGATACTTTGCTTTTACACTTTTTGAATTTTTTTTTCTATTTTGAATTTTTATCACATATTCAATAATAGAATATTATCTAATTGATCCTATTATTATTCTCTCTTCTCATAAGAAGAAACTATAGCTTGAAAAAATTAAATGATGTGTTTGATACTATATGCAGACAAGAGGTGGGGTTAAGAATAAAATCACAATATTATGAACAAGATCCTATTTCCTATTTTTATCACATAAGTATTAGACCTCATTTTGGCTTAGCATACACTGAAATTTAGGTTTAATCATTGTTCATATAAGTGTAAATCTCTGTAAAAGGTCAAAACATTTGCCATTCAGATGAGAAAGAACCTAATCATTATACTGCAAAAAGATATTGGTATGAAAATAATACTGTACAGGCACTTCACTTTTTATTGCCTTATTTTGTTAGGAATCCATAAACACTAATATAATCTTGTCATATATTACACAGGTTGGCCATCTGCTAATGTTGAGATTAATAATCTACCCTATGGTTAACTCATAAAATCATACAAATTAAGATTTGTATGGGGCTTTAGAAATTTATCTATGACATTTCCCAGATTTATTCCTCTAGATACCAGCCAATCTAATTACTTTAGTGACATGTTTAACCTTTGTGAAAATCTGTACATAGAATTATTTATATGAATATTGTTGGCTTTTAAAATTCAAGGGCCAAATTTGGGGCCTATTTTTTCTCAAATGAATAATAATAGTAATAACAAAAATAATAAGGATGATGATAGCACCCTTCATTAAGTATTTACTATGGCCAGTTAAGGAGGTACTTTACATACATTAAGGCATTTAGACCTCAGAGCAATCCAGGATGAAGGCCCTATCTTTAATCCTATTTTCAGTAAAGGGAACTTTTTCCAGGAAAGGTTAATGAATATGCCTAACTTCACACAGCTATTAAATGAAAGAGCTCAAATCTGAACCCAAACTTGTATAAAATATTCCCTGTATCCCTCCAGTTGTGTATATATTGTTGCATTAGCCTCAATCCTGACTCATTTTATGCTTTGTCATCTTGTTGTATTCTTATTTCACTTCATTTTTTAACCTAGGACTTTATGTGCCTTAACTTGTAAACTCCCTTACATCTTTTCTAGAAAGCGTTGGCTTACATAAACAAGCATAGTAACTATTGCATGTTTGTAGTCTCGTACTTTATTAGGAGAAAAAAAAATAAAGAAAAGTGTATTTTTGTAAACACTATAATATCTTCTGCCACAGAAGGACAGGCTTCCCCCCTCATGGAAAAGTTTGTCTTTGCCAAGATAGAATGAGAACCAATCAAAATCAATCAAGTGAATGTGAGGAATACAGAGAATTAATGCTATAGTTCCTGCCTTTTGGTAGCTTACATATTTGTTAAGTGAAAATACGTGTACAAGCAGGGCTTGGCGGCTCACACCTGTAATCATAGCACTTTGGGAGGCCAAAGTAGGAGGAGGGCTTGAGCCCAGGACTTTGAAGTTAAAGCTATGATGATGCCACTGCACTCTAGCCTGAGTGACAGAGAGAGACCCTGTCTCAAAACCAAACCAAAACAAAAAAGTACAAAACCACAAATATGTGAGAAGTGATTACTAATGGCACTGAAAACAGGTCCTTTATGTATCAGAAGTCAATGGTGAAGGTGAAGGGGAGGTATTGTAGGAAGTTTGTTTGATTTCTTTTTAAGGACAGTCTGTGGGACAAATCAAGAATTGTAAACATTTGGGTGCTTCGAAGAGTTCCATACCCAAGTATTTAGGCAAGAAGCTCTTCAAGGTTTTGTTCAATTTAAAGTAATATTTTAAAAATTATACAGACACTACGATTTAGTATGGTGACTTTCCAATTAGTCAGGAGTAAGAGGTTTGTCTGAAGGAGATCTGGGAAAACAGTGGGTAACAAGAACAACTGGAGAGATACTGCGAATATTTGTAATTCCTCACGACTGGAAACACTTTTGTGTGTTGGGAGGTGGGTGAAAAGTGCATAAAGGAAGGGTGCTGGCAAAGAAATCACTCACTGAGCAAATTTTCCCAAAATGGTTGCCTTTTCAAATTTTGTTGAGACTCTAATAAAAATGTTAAAGGAAAATGTTCACTATGCTATTAAAATTAAAATTGACCTAGCACTCTGGGAGGCCGAGGCAGGCGGATTGCTCAAGGTCAGGAGTTCAAAACCAGCCTGAGCGAGACCCCGTCTCTACCATAAAAATAGAAAGAAATTAATTGGCCAACTAAATTATAATATAAAAAAAAATCAGCCGGGCATGTGGCTCGTGCCTGTAGTCCAGCTACTTGGGAGGCTGAGGCAGGAGGATCGCTTGAGCCCAGGAGTTTGAGGTTGCTGTGAGCTAGGTTGACGCCACGGCACTCACTCTAGCCTAGGCAAGAAGCGAGACTCTGTCTCAAAAAAAAAAAAAAATTAAAATTGAGACCGTGACACATTACAGAAAGGGAGTCAATTTCCGTAGCCCATTTTAATATTTCTACCCTCTCTCATCAATGAAGACTCGATTGCCTCCACACCCACCCCCACTTTCCTTTTCAAGCCCCCACATGTTAGCCTCTAATAGTTGGTTGTATTTTAACACATCGTTCAACCTCTCTGTCCGTTTCCACCCAGGGCAGTGTGCATATTTTCTACTGGTGCACAGTAATCATCAACTGAGGTGAGAAACCCATTTTTTTCTATTTGGCGTGGTACTACTACAGGTCCGGAAGCAAAAGCCTGTATTTCAGTCTGATGAGTTCTACCAGCATTAGAAAGTACTGTTTTTACTAAGCAGTGGTCTTGTTCCATCGGATAAAGATTTTTGTTTTTGTGGATGGAGTGGGTCTGCATAAAATATGGCATAGGAGGAAACCTATGACATTTTTTTCCTTGGCCCACTTAGGTCGAAGGTAGCCAAGCTGGGACTTGGAGGGAAAAGAGGAGGCTGCCTGAGGGCAATCCTGCAGGGCCACCGTCCTGCGGTCCCAGGCAGACGGGAAACCCAGGACGCCACGCTCTGCAGCAGGAGCAGGCCAGGTCCCAGAGGGCGGAGGGAGCCAGGCGCACGGCGGCGCGGAGGAGGCGACGACGGCGGCGGCGGCGCCCACTCCCCCTCGTCCACGCGCCCAGCCGCTCGCCTCCCGCTGCTGGGCGCCGGCGCGCTCGGCTTTTTCCGTCGCTGCCGCTGCCGCGCGCTGCCCCGTGCGCCTCGGCACCTTCGGCAATTTCCGTCGGGCCCTGGCCGCCATTTTCTCGCCGCTTGTGTGGCTCGCTGGCTGCGTGGCTCGGTTCTTGTGAGGGAAGCTTTGTCCGGTTCGGCAATGGACGGGTATGTAATCGGGCCGGCGAAGAGGTGTGTGTGTGAGAGGAGTTGGACCGTCCTTCGGTCCCGTCCGGGATCGGGCAGAAACCCTCCAGCCGCCCCTCCCAGGGTTGGGCTGCCGTTACCCAACCCCCGCCCCATCGCACACACCCCTCCCTTGGCTTCCCCCGGCGAGCTGTGGCCGAGAAAATGAGGAGAAAGCGGGCTTGGAGGCAGGGGAGGCGCCGGGGCGATGGCGGGGTGGGACGACCCCGGAGAGGGAGCGGGCATCGGCTTGGTGGCGGGGGTGGGCTGGGAACCCCGGAGCGTCTCTCATGTCCCTGCCCCCCTCTCGGAGCCATTTCGATCCGTACCCTGGGACCCGAACCCTGGGGTGGCGGCGGCTGTGGGAGCGAGTGAGGTGGGCAGAGACAGGCCTGTGGCGGGGAGGCCCTCGGGGAGGAGGGGAGGCACCGGCCGTGGAGCCCAGCCATCCCCTAGCCTGCCGGGCCTCGCCCGGCCCGCACCGGGCGGGAGAGATGCAGGTGGCGGGAGCTCCGGGGAAAGCCAAGTGGGAGCCGCTGGGAAGTGGGGGGAGGGCGTGCGGCGGCGGGAGGAAGGGGGAGGGCAGATGTCATACTCCTTTGTTTTCATTTGAGTCTGGTAGTGGGGGCGGGAGGCAGAAAAAAATGCCTTTTTGTGGGGCATGAGAACATTGGAGGCTTGGCAAAAGGGCCCAGGAATTAAATCATCTAAAAACCGAAGTGTTTGAGGTCCACATGAGTCACATGGGCAAAGGCCAACGGCCATGGCAAAAACAAGAGCAGATAGTCAACACAGGGCCATCTTTTTTAGCTACTTTGGCCAGTTTCTGGAAAAAGAGAAACTACAAAAGCGAGAACCATGCTGCATCTTTGAGAGCCTAAGAGTGAAGATAGAATGCTGAGGTGAGGCTAGGGCTCTGCGAAGTGATAGGGACCAACGTCTCGCTGGTGCTCACGCTCCACATCTGAACACACTCAGTAATTTAACTCATCCTTAGAAAGGGAGCAGTAAGCCCCTTTGGGGGTATACAAACAGTACCATTTAACAAGTACATTTATTAAAGTCAATGACGGTATTTGAAGAGTCAAAAGTAAAATGAGTTTATTTTGCTTAAGCGTTGAGTTTGGTGGTGTTTTTTTTTAAGATATTACATGAAGATCTTATAAAAGTAAACAGACTTAAGGACTTTAAATCTTCCTAGAGGTTACCTAGAGATTATTTTTTTGGTGACATAACTCCAGAGAAGTTGTGTATTCCTCCTTATCAACAGAGAAATTGATTACCCTGGAATTCATGTTTCCTGATTCCTAGATTCTATCCAGACTACTAAAGAGTTTAAGTGTTGAATTATTAATTTAAGTGTATTAGCATTGTAGAAAAGGCATTATAGTGTGTTGGGTTTTGTTCTTTTTGCTTTTGAAAGTGTCAGAAAAAGATAGCATGAATTTACTGAATTTCATTTCAGATTGAAAGTTATTTCTAGAAAGTCAGGTTGATAATAGTACTAAGAAGTGTCACTGACCATCTGTGTGGTTTTTTCCATCTGTGTTGTGTCTGAAGATTTATGAACGGTGAGAGCTACCTAAAAAGTTTTAGAGTCAAACAGTGATCAGTAAAAGAATAATGAGTTCAAACTATTTATTTTTTCTTTTCAGAATTGTCACTGAGGTTGCAGTTGGTGTGAAGGTAGGAAAAGATTATGTTTGAAACTAATGTGAAAACTGAATTGTTGGATCTACTCTTATAATTAATGGAAAATTTCAGTTAGCTTTTGAAAACTATAACGTAGCTAATAAACCCAAGTGTAAAATATTTCCTGTAATTTGTAAAGTTGCCTGTATAGTTAATAATCTACATAAACAACTAAGTTTCTCTAGAAGTAGTAATCTGTAAGAACATTTTAAGAAAAGTATGAATGGTGTTCAGTGAATTAACACTTTTCACACATGGCTTCTTGTGAACACAAAATGATGCCCTGGTTTTCTGAGTGGAAACAATGGATTTTGAATGGACAATAAGTGGTTTGACTTAAATCATATAATTTTGTTAGTCTAAGATTTTTTTTTTACTCTTTTGTTGTGAAAATGAAAAATATTTTTGTCAATAATAAGGCACATTAGAAACGAGTTGTCCTGACCCTTAAAAAGAAAAGAAAGTTGTTTAGGCAGTTACCTTCAAATTTGAGTCAGAAGTTAAGAGTTGGTTTGTCTTTCTATCAATGAAAGGATAGACCTTATGGTAGAGATCCTTTGAAATCCTTCCTCACTCACTTTTTGGCTAGGAAAACTATTCATCCTTTAAACTTTAGTTATAATGCTTAGGTCTTTTGTTTTAACATCATTATATATTATAATTTTTTGTTTGCAAGCTTGTCTGCTCTAAGAGGCTGTGTGCTTAGTCCAGTGATGTTGTCCAGTGATGCTGACTGTTCAGAATATTTTTTGGAATTCTTAAAATTGCATTCATAGTGGTGTGATAATTCTTTAGAATACTTTTGGAGATATTATTGTGTTTTCTTGCTTATTTTCTGTCTTGCCATATAGTGAACTAAATACTTGTCCATCCTTTAATATTTAGCCTTGTTTTTGAGTTCATATTTTGCATACTGGGAGAGAAATAACAAACTCTGTTTTGGGGAAAGCATGTTTAGTTTTAGTTGGCAATTATATTTTCCAGGTTGGGATAGCTGTAGGATTAGAAATCAGGAATAGCTGAAGAGTACAAAATGTAGATGTTGTAGTTACCATCCAAACATTTCCTCTATGAATTTTGTAAAAGAATAAATGATACAAGTCTAAGTTGTCCACTGTTAGTGGATAAGGAGAGAGAGAGTTTATAGACAAGACCTAGAATGAGTAGGCAGAAAAAAGTGAGGAGACTCCAAAGAGAATGTCCAGATACAATGATGTATTGGTTATACCAATTTTGTATATTAGTTCTTTGAGGGAAAAACACTAGAAAATGATAAAAAAAAATTGCTTACCATGTAAAAAATCCATTGTTAAAGAGTGTGAATAAGTTTTATTTAATTTTCTAGGATAATGATTAAGAATTTTTGCTGTGGTACAAGTAATTATAATTATACAGGCCTATATTCAAGTAATTGAGCTTGCTTTAAAAAAGTTTTTAATTTGGGGGAGGGGAGACAAGGGCAATGTATGCAACCTTAACGTTTGTACCCCCATAATATGCTGAAGTAAAAAAAAAAAAGAAAAAAAAAGTTTTTAATTTTCTTTAAAGAAAGTAATACATGTGTATATTTAAAAAAATTTGAAGTGAAAGATATTTCTCCCTGACTTTTTTTTATTTCTTAGGTATAGATAATTGTGTTAAAATTTTTTGTGCATTTTTTCTGAAATTATTGATTTATGTATTACCTCACATATAAACACCTTTGTTTACACAAAGGATTCTGACTATTTGTTCTGGCTCACATTTTGCCTTTTTAAAAAAATATCTTTACATAAACTACTCATTTAAAGTATATATTGTTTTGACATATGTACACATCCATCACCACAATCAAGGTAATGAACATCACTCCCAAAAATATCATCTTGCCCCTTTATAATTCCTCCCTTTTGACTTTCTTCCCCCAAACAACCACTGATCTGCTTTCTGTCAATATAGATTAGTTTGCATTTTGTAGAATTTTAAATAACTGTAATTATGATATATACCCTTTTTTTTGTCTAGGTTATTTCATGCAGTGTAATTATTTTGAAATTACACTGTGTATCTCTAGTCCATTCCTTTTTATTGCTTAATAATATTACATGCCATGTATGGCTACATGGCAATTTGTTCAACTCTTGATGGATGTGTGTATTTTTTCCAGTTTTTGCCTATTAAAATATAGTTACTGTAAACAGTTTCGTGTAAGTCCTTTTGCGTATATATGCTTTCATTTCTTTTGGGGAGGCCTGTGATTAGAATGGCTGAATCATATGGTAGGCATATGTTTAACTTCTCAAGGAACTGCAAATTTTTTTTTAAGTGGTTGTACCGTTTTATATTGCCTTCGGCAGTGTATGAGATTTCCAGTCCCTCTACATTGTCTCCAGTGCCTGTTATTGTCTTGTTTATTTGGTTATAGACATTCTAGTGGGTATGAAGTGGTATCTTACTGTGGTTTTAATTTGCATTTGTTTGATATCTGTTATATTGGACAGCTTTTTTTGTGCTTTTGGTCAACTATTACCTTTGATGAAGTGTCTGTTTAAATTGCCCACTTTTTATGGGTTCTCTTTTCTTGAGTTTTGACAGGTCTTCATTGTGGTTACAAGTCCTGTGCCAGATAAATGGTTTGCAGATATTTTCTACCACTTGTCTTTTCTTTCTCAGCAGTGTCTTTTGAAGAGCAGCAGTTATTCTAATGGATTTTGGCTTACCAGTTTTTTCTTTTGTGGATTGTGCTTTTGGTGTCACATCTAAACTTTTTTTGCCTAACCTAATAAATTCACAAAGATTTTCTCCTTTGTTTTCTAACAGCAGTTTTATTTTTGATGTAACATTAGGTCTCAGTACCATTTTGAGTTAATATTTTGGCTATGGTACAAGGGGTCAAACGTTTTTGGTTTGGGATGTGGACATTTAGTGTTTCCAGCATCATTTGGTGAAAAGACTATCTTTTCTCCATTAAATTGTCTTTGCAACTTTGTCAAAGATCAATTCCCTGTACATATTATTGTATTTTTATACTCTACTCTTTTTCCATTGACTCATTTTTCTTTACCTAGATGTCAAAAACATACTGTCTTATTCACTGTAGCTTTATATTGAGTCTCCCCCCCCCTTTTTTTTTTTTAGTCCCAGATGTTACTACTGATACATTGAGTCTTGAAACCAGTAGATTTTGGTCCTCCAATTTAGTTCTTTTTCATAGTTGTTTTGACTGTTCTGAGACCTTTGTATTTTCTTATGAGTCAGTTTTTAGAAAAACTGTTGGGATTTTATTGGATTTGACTTGAATCTTCAGAGCAATTTGGGGAAAATTGACATCTTAACAATGTTGAGTCTTATCCATGAACAGTTTATCTCCATTTACTTAAGTGTTCTTTAATTTCTTTAAGCAATGTTTTTAGTTTTCAGCGTATAGATTTTGTACATTTTTTTGGTCAGATTTAACCTTGGGTATGTGGTGTCTTTTAATATTGTATATAGTGTTTAAACAAATTCAAGTTCTGATTATTTGGTACTAATGTATAGAAATAAGTGATTTTTGCATATTGCTCTTGTATTCTGCATCCTGGCTAAACTCATTTAGTAGAGCTAATAGATTTTTTAAATATAATCTATTGGATTTTCTACATAGACAGTTTATATCCAGTTGTCTTTAGACAGTTTCCTATCTGGATGCCATTTTTTTCTTTTTCTTGCCTGTGGCATCTAGTAGTACAATGTTGAATAGAAGCGATGAGAGTAGGTATCTTTACATTGTTCCTGATTATTATTATTTTTTTTTTTAGGGTGAACACTCAAAATGGTATTTATTATTTCTTCCTTAGTTGTTTGGTACAATTCACCAGTGAAGCCATGTGAGCCTGATATTTGTTTTCTTTGTGGGGAGGTTTTAAACTACATATTTAATTTATGTAGTAGATACAGGGCCATTCAGGTTATCTATTTCTTCTTGGGTGAGCTTTGGTAATTTGTGTCCTTTGTAGAATAAGTCCATTTCTTCTGAGTTGCCAAATTTATTTGCACAGAGTTGTTCATGATACTACCTTTTTGCACTTTTGATACCTATAGTGATATCAACTCTCATTCCTGATATTGATAACTTGTTTAATCTTTTTTTCTTGTCATTCTGGATAGAAGTTTGTTGATTTTTATTAATGTCTAAACGGTGAGCTTTTGGTTTTATTGAGTTTTCTCTTTTGTTTTTTGTTTCCAATTTTATTGATTTCTATTTTTATTTTTTTCTGCTTTGTGTTTAGTTTGCTCTTCTATTTCTACTTAGTGTCATTGACATGTTAACCTTTTCTTATAGAGGGGTTTGGTGTTATATGTTTCCCTATTAAGTATTGCTTTCATGGCATCCCTCACATTTTGATGTGTGCATTTTCATTCAGTTCAAAATACTTTCTAATCTTTGCTTTTATTTCTTTGACCTATCAGTTATTGGGATGTATGTAATTTAATAATGCTTGGAATTTTTCACAAATCTTTTTGTTGTGCATTTTAATTTTAATTACATTCTGATCAGAGAACATATTTTGTAAGACTCAAATCTTTGTAAATAAGAGATTTGTTTTATGGTCCAAATATAGTATGTCTTGTTAAATGTTTTAGGTGCCTTTGATAAGGGTATGTAGTCTCTTGTTGGGTGGTGGTCTATAAATACCATTTAGGTCATGTTTATTGATAGTGTTGTCCTCTGTCCTTATTGACTTTTGGTTTATTGTTATATCAGTTGAAGAGACTATATTAAAATTTCTGCCTATACTGTGGATTTGTCTATTTTTCATTGCAGTTTTACCAGTTTTTGATTTATGTATTTTGAATTTTTATTATTAGTACATAAATGTTTAGGATCACTATATCTCCTTGATGCATTTATCATCTTTAATATTGCAGTGACAATATTTATCCCTGAAATATTCTTTGCTTTAAAATCTACTTTTTCTAATATTAATACAGCTATCTCTGCCTTATTTTGAATAGGAGATGTCTATTTCCATTCT